TTAGGATAGGGTCATACAAACAAATAAAAGAGCAAATATGTGAAAAGGTAATCCTCAGTACAGATTAATGTTAAGAAAACATACAAAAAGTGTTTAACCTCACAAGTTTAATCAGAAATAAGTAAATTAAAATAAGGTGTTGTTTGCCCTTCAAATTACCCATAATTGAAATGATTCATAACATGTTAATGAGGGTATAGAAAGCTAGGTACTTACACTGTATTGATGAGAATTTATAATGGGTGTTGTTTTTACAAAAATTGTGGTATAAACTACGTAACATAAAATGTACCATTTTAACCATTTTTAAGTGTACAGTTCAGTGTCATTGGAACATTCATATTTTTGCACAACCATCACCACTATAATCTCCAGAACTTTTTCATCATCCCAAACTAAAACTACATATGCATTAAACACCAACCTCCTATTCCTCTCCCCCTAGCCCCTGGCAACCTCCACTGTACTTTCTGACTTTTCTAGATACCTCATGTTAAGTGTAATATCATCGTATTTGTCCTTTTGTGACTAGCTGATTTCACTTAGCATCATGTGTCCAAGGTTCATCCATGTTGTAGCATGTGTATCAGAATTTCCTTCCTTTTTAAAACTGAATATTCCACTGTGTGTGGTACAGTATTTTTGAAGGGCAATTTTGTAGTAATCACAAATTTTTAAATGCCATTTTCTTTGATACAGCAATGAGACATTTACAATAATGTTCACTGCAGCATTGACAGTGAAAAATTAAAAATCTAAACAATCATCAGTAAGATGGGGAAAGTGTGAGATACCCATACTATGAAATACAGGGTGGGACAAAAGTAGGTTTACAGTTTTGAGTACGCAAAACATTTTTGAAAGAGGCTTGGAACCATGCACAATTCCCATTGCTAGACAGGTAGACAGGAGAAGTCATGCCTTGAACAATGTTTCTCAAAAGGTGAGGGACATTGCCCTGTCTGGATGGCTCAGTTGCTTGCAGTATTGTTCTGTACAACAAAAGGATGAAGGTTTGACCCCTGGTCAGGGAACATACTTAGGTTGAGGGCTGGATCCCCAAGGCAGAGCATGTATGGGAGTCAGCAAATTGATGTTTCTCTCTTGCCTGTTCTCTTCTCAAAAACAATAAATATATCCCCAGGTGAGGATTAAAAGTGAGGGAGATTAACAAAAAAGGTTAAAAAATGTGAACTTGTTAAAACACTGGCATAAACATGAAAGTCCTTTAAGGCAGAACTTCTTGGGGCCATTAATATGCTAGTACACATTGTAAAATCTCCAGAAGGGAGGTAACAACTTCCTGAGCCCTTGTGACTACACAGCATCCTTTTTACAGTGGTTGTGTCTGGAGGACAAAGTTTGGGAAACACTGATTTTAGAAGTATCTCAAGATAAAGTGTTCCTTAAGAGGAGTCCTGGTAGGTATTGTGGGGTTGTAGTAGCAGGTGCTAGAACAAATTACAGGGGTTGGCTGAGCTCCACTAGCTGGGAAATGAACTTCACCACTCAACTTTCTTTTGTTTTAAAGATTTTATTTTTAGAAAAGGGAGGAAGAGAGGGAGAGAAACATCAACATGTGGTTGCCTCTTGCATGCCCCCCACTGGGGACCTGGCCTGCAACCCAGGAATGTGCCCTAAGAACTGAACTGGCGACCCCTTGGTCCAGAGGCTGGCACTCAATCCACTGAGCCACACCAGCCAGAACTCACCACTCAACTTCTGATGACAGGGGGGGAAAAATTAAAAAAAAAAAAAAAGTTATGGGATCATTTTAAAAAAAACCCAAAAACCTCGTTATTTCCCTTTTAGTATTTATTGTTGCACTCAGTGCTATACACTTTCCCAGAAATAAACATCTTGAGAGTTGGCTGGGCCTAACTAAAAGGGAGCCATGACTTGCCCCTTCAGATTACTTGAGGAATGAGCCAAGTTAAGATGAAAAGTCTCACGATACAGTTAAGTCATGAAATGTAGTTTCTACAAGCCCTCAAAGATGTAAAGAATGAACCAGACTTGTGCGTATCAATTCAGTAACTCTACCAATTTGGAAGTTTTACTTTAGGGCCGAAATACTTTACTGGCTCTCTTAAGGATGCTTGGTTGTGAACAATGTTGATGCTAAGCTGCAAATGACTTCGGGCCCCCTGGAGGTCTCTGGGCAGCAGACACAAACATACTCAGAATGGAGTTGGAAAATACACCTCCCTTCAAAATCTTTTACCGACCTAAAGCGACCAATGTTAAACAGGGGCCCATGCTTTTGTATGCCCAAGATTACAGGCCACTAAGTGGAGCCAGATTTAAACTCAAGTAGTTGTGTCCCATCACTGTTACACTGTAATGTCTTTATAGAGGATATATTCATCTTCCAAATTGCATGCACTGTTATGTATAAACCACTGTGTTCATTTTTCCCCGTTTCACTAAGAACTGACAAAAACTTTATCTTGGAGTGGAACTGGCTACAGGGACTTGCTTTCAGTATGCTAAGCCAATGATCCTGTTAGCACACCTTTGCACACAGGTGCATTCTTTCAGGAAAGATCGCAAGATACAGACATATTAATAAATTCCCAAGTAAAAGGTGGACAATGAGGATTAACAACTAAAGATGGTTAAATTGCAGCATGTCCTGCAAACTCTGGGATCCCAAGGCAGTAGGTCTGATTTACACATGGAGTTTGGCTTTTTGGAGGTAGTCCAGGTCCAAAAATGGGTTCAAAATAAATTTTTTGGAAGACTGACCCCCATCTACTTTTGACACCATCCTAACAAGTCACAAAGATCCATCCCATACACAACCTTCTGTGGTGTTGTATGTTTTTAAGAGGTAGGGAGGTGCAGGGAGACATTTCCTTAAGGAAGGGCAGTGAGGTATTTGCATCGTGGGCTGTAACATTGTCTCTTCCCTCTAATTGGCTTTTTAGCATCTTGGCCAACACTGCAATTGAGATTCCTGGCTCTAAGATGACAAATAGCTGGAAAATGAACATTAAATTGGGTGACAGGAAACATGTAAAAATTATCAACTCTCCCATTCCTAAATCATCCCAAAACAAAGCTACACAGTAACATTTCTCCATAGCACTGCCAGCAGAGAACTGAACAGGAACCACAAACCACAACTGGCCTGTTTTACTCAGTGCAGAGCAAGATTTGAGACCAAGGTTAACCCACTTCCAAAACCCAATTGAGCACAGGTTGAAGGCACATGCAGACTTTTCCTTGCTCAAATTTCAAGTGTGTGCAAGGTGGATTTGCTGAGACTCACTAATACCTTTGGGAATCCCTATGGAATAGACAATCTGTTTTCACAAGCCTACAGAACACACTGACCTGTTAGCAAGTGAAGTTATGGTGAAGATGTGGAAGAAATAACACAATTGTGCAAGTCCTATTTGCCCAAATCAACCACTGTTCAGTGAAATACATTTATTCTTCAGACTTATTAATCAAGGTTTTTAGCCCTGGCTGGTGTGGCTCAATGGATTGAGTGCTGGCCTGCAAAGGGTCAAGGTTTTTATTAGGGGTAAAGAAAAACGTGGGGATTTTCTTTAAAACCTGGCTTTACTATCCTAAGACCTGTTTTAGAATTATTTTACTGCATTCAGCAAAAGCCCTGCTTAGTAAAAGCACGAGTTTGAGGACACCCTGAAAACTCTATTAGTTTTCACAGGAAAACTAATATAACTCAAAGAACTTTATGACCTAAGTCGTAAGTTGACAGAATACTTGGATCCCAGTCCTTGATTTGCTCCTAACAAGAACTACGCCTTGAGCAAATCAACTTGAAATGGTGGGACTGAAAGTGCTACCTTCCAATGCGACAACGAAGAGTTCTCTTGTTTAAATATGGCTTTTTAAAGCCTTGATTTTTACCACCTCCAAAGAGTTGAAGCATTACTTCACTGTATTAATCTGAAATTAAGTGCTATCTCCAATGTCCAACTTAAACCCAAAGTACTCCAATTTTTTATGCTCAAATTTAAGTGGATTTCTAAAACATGTTTGAGAACCTACTGCTAAGGCAGAGTTCCTAAAATTACACACTAGGCCATCTTGCGGTATAATTGGAACACCAAGGGCACATTTCCAGGCCTGATGCTTGGTTTTAATTTTAATGCACGTCTGGAGTCAAACGCACTTGTGATTTTACGAGTTAGTACCAGTAGTTATTTCCCTACAGTATAACCTGAGAAACAAAAACTTGCAACTTCTCCCTCCTCATATACACTCCCCACACATTTCAGTTTTGTCTCAAGTTGAGAAACCACTGTATTATTGGTTACACCACACAGACTTGATTGTAACAGGTAAAGAGGTTGAGAACTTAAAACTCCACTGTAAGAACAGTGTGTCCAGATTCTTAGTCCCTCAAAATTCTTCTACTGGTATTAAAAATATACTACTTTATTATTATTAGTATGGCCAGAGTAGTAACTGCTTATGCTGGATTTAGACAAAGTAACTTTATCAAGTCCCCAAAGTAGATAATTTCGTTTGTTGTTGCAATCTTCTTTCTCCTTAAAATAAAGCAAAGCTGTCAGTCATTAAGGTTAGACTGCTGTTAGCACCCACCTTCATTTGCTGCCTAACATACCAGTGTCAGCAAATTGCCTTAAATCAGAATACTTTTTAACTGGAATTCTTTCATACAATCTTTCTCACCAGCCAGCCTTCTTTCAAACTTGACAAGGGCACCGCAATTAAGTGGACTTCACATACAACAGACAGGATTGGGGTTCCACTTCACTACTTCAAGTTAAACACTTGAATATAACGCAATAGGCAAACAAAAAAAGCACAACAATCAACCACTAATTACAAGACTTTGACAAAGTTCCCTTATCTTGGTACACCCAATGTTTACCGAAGTCAAGAGACTGACTTTTGGTCACATGAACAATCTCAAAATTAAATCCCTTCCTTGAACACCTTTTACCAGTTAGGAATGCCCACATCACACAACTTCATGACAAAAGACACCAAATTGCTACCATGCAATGAAACCTTTATTAACACTTTGAACAGATTCAGCAATTACTGAAACTGGTAATTTCTAAACTTAAACGGGGAAAAATGGCTAGATTGCAGAGTAGTGGCCATCACTGGGCACTATGAATGCAAAACTGAAGAATTAACAGCCACCTCTCAGGCGCAGGACCAGGTGCAAGGTGGACTCTTTCTGGATGTTGTAGTCAGAAAGAGTGCGGCCATCTTCCAGCTGCTTGCCTGCAAAGATGAGCCTCTGCTGGTCGGGGGGGATGCCTTCTTTATCCTGGATCTTGGCCTTCACATTCTCAATGGTGTCGCTCGGCTCCACCTCCAGGGTGATGGTCTTGCCGGTCAGGGTCTTCACGAAGATCTGCATACCACCTCTCAGGCGCAGGACCAGGTGCAGGGTGGACTCTTTCTGGATGTTGTAGTCAGAAAGAGTGCGGCCATCTTCCAGCTGCTTGCCTGCAAAGATGAGCCTCTGCTGGTCGGGGGGGATGCCCTCTTTATCCTGGATCTTGGCTTTCACATTCTCAATGGTGTCGCTGGGCTCCACCTCCAGGGTGATGGTCTTGCCGGTCAGGGTCTTCACGAAGATCTGCATACCACCTCTCAGGCGCAGGACCAGGTGCAGGGTGGACTCTTTCTGGATGTTGTAGTCAGAAAGAGTGCGGCCATCTTCCAGCTGCTTGCCTGCAAAGATGAGCCTCTGCTGGTCGGGGGGGATGCCCTCTTTATCCTGGATCTTGGCTTTCACATTCTCAATGGTGTCGCTGGGCTCCACCTCCAGGGTGATGGTCTTGCCGGTCAGGGTCTTCACGAAGATCTGCATACCACCTCTCAGGCGCAGGACCAGGTGCAGGGTGGACTCTTTCTGGATGTTGTAGTCAGAAAGAGTGCGGCCATCTTCCAGCTGCTTGCCTGCAAAGATGAGCCTCTGCTGGTCGGGGGGGATGCCCTCTTTATCCTGGATCTTGGCTTTCACATTCTCAATGGTGTCGCTGGGCTCCACCTCCAGGGTGATGGTCTTGCCTGTCAGGGTCTTCACAAAGATCTGCATTTTGATCTACAGAGTTCAAAAGACAGAACTTAGCGTATCATTACAGGATTTTCACATTTACTATTTTCACATCTAATCAATTCTTCAAAATTGACAGTTAATACTCTTCTTCCAAAATGCCTTACACTACCTATATTTCTGACAAACCTCCAATTTTTACTAGACTAATACAAAGTTCGTTAGAAAAAACAAAACAGGGTTATTGATTTTTGGAGAAAGGAAGAAAGAGAAGAACATCCATGGTTGCCTCCCACACACGCCTCATAGATGGAATCAAAACTTATGTGCCCTGACCAGAAACCTAACTCCCAACCCTTCGATGTAGGGGACACGTTCCAAAAAAATGAGCCACACCGGCCAGGGTCAAATCCTAAGTTCTTTAGTCACGGCTTGAACTTACACTGGTTAAAGGACCAAACGTATTTTGTAAATTTACCATCCAGGACTTTGTTCCTTCACTGTACCACACCCTTCACTAGCCGCAACAATTTCTCAACAAAACTTAAGCAAAACACGTACAATGAAAAGGGAAAAAAAAACCACTCCACAGGACACAGGAAAATAAAAATATTTAAATGGCAATGAAATGCAACATTTTCTCTACGTTGCGAATCCAAATTAAAAGGTTTCTATAAGACACACTACCTTTTCCCTGCCTCCCCCCTCTGAAGTACACACGATGGACCCTCCATCGGTTAAGCGCCCGTTAGGCTCGGCGCGCGCGCGAAACGCCCCCGCTCCGTACACGTAAACAAGGACCCCTCTTCCGGAAAGGCCCGGCAGCACGACGTCGCGTCACCTCGCCTGCCCCTCCCCCGGCTCCTTTCCTAGACGCCCACCCAGACACGAGACTTGGCCAGTACCGTCTTACTTAGGCACCACTACCCAACCCATCCCGGGTCTCGAAGACTGTGGACCACTACCTGCCGGCGACTGTGAAAATCCCACCCAGGTGAAGTCACTTCCACACGACGTACCACCACTTGCGAGTATCAGCCGCTTCTGAATACTCCTGCTCCGCGGAGCAGAAATTTATGCAACGTCTGTTGCGTGACTCATCACTTCTACGTAGTCGTCATGTCCATACGCCGCTGAAAGTAGTTCGCTCGGCTTCCCCCTCCCGCGATGAACTAGGCCCTTCCACCAGGCCCCAAATTCCTCAGATCCGGAAGAAAGGATGATAAAAATTCAGCTGCCCTCTATTCCAGGCTATTCTTATCTTCCTTTAGAAAAAAGTAGGAAAGTTATCAGGCGGATGAATTCGAGTTGAGGGAACCTTCCTCGAAAGCTCTGGAAACTTCCTTGCAGCGTCGGCGCTGATTGGTGAGGCGTGTGAAGGCGAGGCCGGCGGTGATTGGTGGGGAGCGCGGCGGCTCCGCTGTTGCTGGGCTCTCGGCTGAGAGAGCTGACGTTGCTAAGTGACTGAATGCGCGCGCGCCGCAGGGGGTTGCGTTCTTGAGTGAGGGGTGTTTCCGGCCCGTGGTGGGGGAGGGGGTCCTCCGTTCTTGCCTCCCAAAATGGATCCTTACAATCCCGTGTTTTAAGGCTTTAAGAGGAGGCAGTGGGGACTGCGCGTTGACTTCCCAGGAAAGGCTGCTCCGGTCTCAGTTTGGAGGTGTTCAGAAGCGGGACGGGGCGGCCGGCAGCTGTTTTTTCTGATGTCTGTGGAAAAGCACAAGCCCATCTCCCCCAGATCTAGAAAAACGCCGTGCCCCTGACACACTGGCGGGTTTTTATTTTTGTTCTTAGTTGTGGAGTTTTTTATCAAGCTTCTTTACAATCAGAGTGCTTTTGTCGTACTCGATCCTCATAAGAGCTCTAAAGAGCGTCAGTAGATCTAGACCCTAGTAGAGGCATCCTCTGCCGGACCCCCAACTCCCTACCTGGCCTTCAGGCCCAGAGCTGCGTGGCTCCCGCTGTCGGTGACACGGGGGCCGGGCTTAGATCTGGCTCCGGCAAAACCTGCAAGTCTCTTTGACTCCTTGCTGTTTCTCCAAACTCCGGTAAGGAAAAAGAGAAAGTGGGTTAGGGATCTGAAAACCTTCTTTGAGAAACGGGGGATTCATGTACCAGAAAGTAAATAATATTTCTACCATGAATGTGTTTGTCGTGTGACGCTGAAGGTGGGGTTCTTCGGCTAGGACCAGCTGATTTCCCTGCACCTTGGGTGTGGCCACTAGTCCCGCCAGGAGATAACACGAGGAGCCTGCGTCAGGCAGGGTTGTTTGGGTCTGGTTGCCACGCGGTCCTATGTCTGAGTCACGGAGGTGGGGATGTAAATAACATTCAAGTTGCTGTCATGTAATACCAACCTTCCTAAGTAAGAAGTAGGGTAAAGATTTGGAAGAATACAGTTAGCTATCAGTTAGAAAAGGTCCTATTCCAACACTTCTAAGCATACCATTAAGAAACGATGTCAATTGAATGCCTAGACAGGTATAGGAGTTAACACCTAGACAGCTTTAAATTAAATTTACTAAAACTTGGTAAGATCTACTTACATGAATAAGCTGGAGATAGAAATAAAGTTTCTTTTAAGATAATTTTAGACTTCGAGGTAGTATTAATTTTACAAAGTATGAATTTTCATGTTTGTAAACCCCGCAGTGAATCTGAGCTTGTGTCTTCAACTCGCAGCTTCCCCTGAGTCATACCTGTTGATTGGTAGAATGATCTAGAGTAGACACTCATGATCGATGATGATGATTTTGTTAGGAGTTTCAGCAGTTGCCAGAAGTTAGTCATACAGCTTCCTGGTTTAATGTTTTGCCAAAGTGGGTCATTTGGTAACCTCAACAAAGCAAAATGTTTTCAGAGGGAAGGCGTGTGCTGTCCAAGAGGAATTCTTGAGGTCTGTTTATAAATGAAATTTAGTACTATCATTTCTGGTGATAATTAAGAAACAAAATCCAGAGATCAGAGATGTGGTAAATCTAGCACAATACTTGGCATTGTGCTCAAATGTTTGTTCAGTGAATAAAGGGCAGTTTTCCCTTTTGCTCAAGTGGGAAAACCCCCCACAGCTTTATGACAGCCTTAGGGCCTAAAATACAAAGCAACAAAACAGTACTTAATCTCTATAGGCAAATAGTTCTTGTCTAGGTAGTTCTTTCAAAGAAACAAAGAGGTACTGATTCTGAGATTCTAAGTGATTTTACTTGAGGAGGTGTCTCTTTTCCCCCAAAGATTTTATTTATTTTTAGAGAGAGGAGAAGAGAGGGAGAGAAACACAGATGTGAGAGAGAAACATCAATTGGTTGCCTCTTGCGCGCCCGAACCAGGGTCCTGGCCCGCAACCCAAGCACGTGCCCTGACTGGGGATCGAACCTTTCCGTCTGCAGGCCAGTACTAAGTCCACAAAGCCAGAAATTGGCTAGATGTCTTAATAAAAATCTTTGATAGCCCTGGCAGGGTGGCTCAGTTGGAGCATCATCCTGTACACCAAAAGGTTGGGGGTTCCATCCCAGGTCAGGATGCCTATGGAAGGTTTCTCAATCCCTCCCTTCCTTCTTCCCTCCCTCCCTCCCTCCTTCCCTCCCCTCCTTCCTCTCTTTCTAAAATCTATAAACAAGTCCTCCAGTGAGGATTTTTTTCTTTAAACTGCGAAAACTGTGGTTCCAATTACAAATTCAAAATTGTCTTGACATTATCAGTTGAATTTTAATATATGGAGTTAGTTTGTGGCTTGTAATTTCCTCACTTGGCTATTAATCTAAACAAAACTATGAAACTAACTCCTCGTTTATTACCAGCGGATTAGAAACTTTAATTTTGAATGCCAAATGAACACAGAGCAAAATTCTGTGTTGTCTTTATATTGGGCCTCAAAATTATAAAAATCTTCCCATTTAAAAATAGCAACTTAAAAATGTTTTGTTATGAAATATTACAAACATGAAAGTTGGAGATACAACAAACAACATAAATCCACCACCCCACTGTAGTAAGGCTTAACACTTTTCTATTTTGCATCAGCTTAAAAAATTTTTTTAGAGATTTTATTTATTTATTTTTAGAGAAGTGAAGGGAGGGAGAAAGAGAGAGAAACATCAATGTGTGGTTGTATTTTGTGCGCCCCCTGCTAGGGACCTGGCCTGCAACCCAGGCACGTGCCCTGACTGGGAATTGAGCTGGTGACACTTTGGTTCGCAGGCCAGCGCTCAAGCCACTGAGCCAACCAGCTAGGGGAAAAAATGTTTTAGTGTAGTAAAAAGTGCAGTATAACTTACCATCTTATCATTTTTAAGTGTACAGTTCAGTGGATGTTAACTATATTCACATTGTTGATCTCTGGAACTTTTTTATCTTGCAAAACTGAAAAATCCATACTCCTGAACCACAACTCCCCATTTATCTCTCCCCTCAGCGTCTCATGATCACCATTCTGTTTTCTGTTTCTATGATTTTAACTATTTTAGATTCCTTGTATAAGTGGAATCATACAGTATTTGCCTTTTTTGTCACTGGTTTATTTCACTTAGCCTAATGTCTTCAATGTTCATCCATGTGTTTGACAAAATTTCCTTCTTTTCAAAGGCAGGCTAATATTATGGTTATATATATAAATGTTAAAATATATATATGTAAATAAAATATCCCATTTTGTGTTGTCCATCTGTGTGGATATTTGGGTTGCTTCCATCTCTTGGCTATTGTGAATAATGCTGCAATGAACATGGATGTGCAAATATCTCTTTAAGATTCTGCTTTCAGTTCTTTTGGATATATACTCAAAAGTGGGATTAATTCTATTTTTAGTCTTTTTAGGGGCATCCATATTGTTTCACACAGCAACTATATCATTTTACATTCCCAACAGCAATGCACATCTTTACCAACATTTGTTATTTTCTGTTCTTTATTTGTTTATATAGTAGCCGCCCTAAGAGTGTGAGATATCATGGTTTTGATTTGCATTTCCATAATGACTTATTTTTTATTTTTAAATGATTATAGATCCACAGGAAGTAGTAAAAATAGTACAGAGAGGTTTCATTGTACCCTTCACGCAGTTTCCCCCAATAGTAACATACATGACTTAGTAAAATATCAAAACCAGAAAATCAGCATTGGTGTAATCTATAGACCTACTCAGATAACAGCAGTTTTACATGCGTGTTTGTGTGTGTGTGTGTGTGTGTGTATAGTTCTATGCAATTTTATCACATGGGAAGATTCACGTAACTACCACCATGATCAAGACAGAGTTGTTTCACCACAAGGATCCCCGTGCTGTGTCTCTGTGGGTCACAAGCTTCTACCGTCCCTTTCCTTCCAGCCCAGGCAACCACTAATCTATTTTGGCATCTTTATAATTTTGTCATTTTTGAGAATGTTACAAGAATGGAATCATACAATGTGTAAACTTTAAACGTTAGTTTTTTTCACTCAATATAATTCTCTTGATACTTGTCCAAGTCGTTGCATAGATTTCCGTTCCTTTTTGTTGCTGAGTAGCATTCCATAATATGGGTGTACCATAGTTGGTTTATTCTTCACCTGTGGATGGGTTTTTGGGATGTTTCCAATTTTTGACTCTTGCAAGTAAAGCTGCTGTGAAGGTTCATGTACACATTTTTTGTGTGAATGTTTTCATGTCTGTGGGATGAATGCCCCATAGTGTAATTGCTGGGTCATATGCTAAGTATCTGGTTAGATTTTTAAGAAACTGCCAAACTATTTTTTAGAGTGGGTGTACTATTTACATCTCCCTGAGTGTATGGGAGATTCAGTTTTTCTGCATCTTCACACATTTGTTTTGTTACTTCTTTTATTTTAGCTGTTCTAACATGTAAGGGAAACCCCCCTCAAAAAATAAACAGAAGCCCTAGCTGGTGTGGCTCAGTGGATTGCGAGCCAGCTTGTGAGCCAAGGGGGTCACTCGTTGGATTCCAGGTCAGGACCTATGCCTAGGTTGCAGGTCAAGCCAGGCCAGGTCCCCAGTGGCGGTGGCATTCGGGAAGCAACCACACATTGATGTTTCTTTCCCTCTCTTTATCCCTCCCTTCCTCTCTCTCTAAAAATAAATAAAATCTTTAAAAAAAAATAAACAGGAATTATTTTCTGGAGGACAGGCCCCTTGTAGTACAGGCTTCCCCCACTAAGTAAGTAG